AATTTGCCGCTCAGATGGCCCGTCGAGTCGCAGTCCGGGACACAACACTTGCCGTCGTTCTGCACCTCCATGTCCGACGAGTCGGCATCCGATTCGGGCTCCGTCTTAGTTACCGGCGCTTTGGGCAGCGATTTTGTGCGCATACGTGCCATATAGGAGGCCGCCCCTCGACCTGTGCCCATACAGTCAGTGCGATATTATTAGCAAAAAATGCATAAAACAGTTATTTCTAAACCAAAAATACCTCTCTTTTTACGCTTTCTCTTCCCGTTGACGACAACATATCCACCCCTACCGGTGCCGCCGCTCACAGCACCGCCACTCTCGCCATCATTGTTATCGCTACTCATGAGCTCATCCGCCGGTGTCTTAGAGGACGACCCGCTGGTTGTCGACATCGCCTTCTCGTCGCTATTCGTGAGTCCTTTCGGCGATTCAGTGGACGACTGCTTAGTCATAGAGCGCGTGAGGCGTTGCTGCGGACCAGACCTACCGGTGCGACGGCGCCGTCCGCCTCGGCCTACGCTCGGCTTTGGCGCGGAAGAGGCGGAGGCGTTGCTCTCATTGTCATCCATTTCCTCATCGATCTCATCGTCGGAACTATAGTTATATTTTACAACAAAATAATATATATTTAATGAAAAACTTTTTACTTTTGTTATACGAAACATAAGTTAATAATAGCTAAATTGAAATACAGTCTACTTTCGCTATGATATACACGCTAACAATAAATGGACAGCACCTACAGTGCACCTACACACTATGCCACTATGCTTTGAATATCATACTTACCGGTAATTGTATAACTAATACTAAATAATATATAATTAAATTAACTATAATTTATTTCATAATAAATGCTTATTTGCTTTCTGAGTGTTCATTACCAGAAGGGGACTGTACTCGCAAAATACAACTCATAATAAATAAATGAGAAATAAGTTATTAATGAGAAAAAAAAATAATAAAATGAATTCAAATAAATGCCACAAAAAGATCGCATCAAACAGACAAACAAATCAATAAAACGACACAAAAGTAGTAAAAATAAAATCAAAAATCAATTAAAACTTGCGATAAAAGTGCTGTACTTTTGGCTATCATTAGTGAACACACTATTGAGAGACTAATCAATCGACAAATAGTTAACAAACAACTCATGAATACCTTTCCTCCCGTTCCTCCTCGTCCTCAACCTCTTCGCCACTACTGCTGTCCACCACCTCCTCGTCCTCTTCATCTTCGCCCTCCTCCTCATCGCTCGACTTATGCTCACCACTACTGCCGGCGCTGTCAATGG